TAGAGGACTTTGTGGTGCTGGAAGAGGAAAAAGGATTTCTCTTTTTAGAAAATCTAACTTACGTGGCAAAATGGCTTCTAAAAAACAGGAAAGCAAGGCAGCAGGGGGGGGGATCTCCCACACATAAGCCTGAGGAGCAGTTTGATTTTGAAAGTTTAAAAAAATTTATCACGCAGGCTTTGGATGATAATTTCCAAAAATCTCAACAGGAAATGGATGATAAATTTCAAAAATCTCAACAGGAAATTAAGCAGGAAATTACTGAAATGAAAAACTTGGTGAAAGAGAATTACGACAAGGTGACTGATAAATTATCAAATGCAGTTTCTGGCCTGTCAGAAATTATTATTAAAGTGGATTCCAAATTGGAAGAATTTAAATCAGAAGTGAATGTCAAAATAAAGGATACTGATTTTAAAATTTCTGATGTGGATAATAAGATGCAGAGAGTTGAAAACGAAATCACGATGATGCAATTCCGGTCCATGGAATTTGCTATAAGAATTAATTAAGGAGAATGACCGGCAAGATCTGAGACAGGTTTGTGCTGATGCACTAGCAGTGCTGTTAAAAATTAATGCTGATGAGATTTTTTACAAAATAGACAAAATTTACAGAGTGAATTCGTGGGTGGCCAGACAAAGACAATTACCTAGAGATGTGGTGATATACTTTACAGACAGAAGAATGAGAAATGATATTTTGCAAAAATCTTTTCTCTCCTCCGTGCAAGTGGAGGGAACTCAAATTGGAATTTATAAAGAATTACCACCAAAGATGCTGAAAGATAGAAAAGACTTTGGCTTTTTAGTAAAGGAATTAAACAAATTAGAGATTCCATTCCGGTGGGATGCCCCAACGGGTATAATTTTGAAGTACCAGGGGGAAAGACACTGACTGAACACTGTTGAAAAAGCGGAATATTTTTATTATAATGTTTTTAAGGAGAGGTCACCATCTCCACGTTCATCTACTGTATTGGAGATAAAGGAGAGTGAGAAGGAGAAGCAACCCCAGCAAGAGTTGGAAGTGCAGCCTAAGCAGATCGAATTAGCTCCAACAGAAGCGCAGGGTGCTGTAGGAGGTTTTCTGGAGGAGCCTCTGTTAGAATCTTCTCCAATTCTGACTACAAGAGATGTGGCATTGGACCTAGCTCGTATGGCTGAAGCTAAAGACCAGCGAATAACTCGTGCAGTTTCAAAACAACTCAAAGAAAAACAATTGCAAGAAAGAGCTACGGCACAACAATATAAAAAAGGAGCTAAGAGTACTACAGAACAAAGGGAAGCCATGGGGAGAGCAAAGTCGGTGGCCTCGGAAGACATCCGGCAATTCTGCTCGTCGCTTCAAAATCAAGTTGCAACAAATTTACAATATGCAAAGCATAACACATTTTGTAATGCCAATAAACCGGGCAGATGGCTGGCTTATACTTTAAGGAAGAAGCAGAGTATGCGGACCATCAACTGTATTGATATTGGAGGGACAGAAATTTATCAACAAAAATTAATTAAAGAAGTTTTTGTAGATTATTATACTAAATTATATGCTAAAGATGACATACAGAATGGACTTATAGAAAAATATCTAGAAAATAAGAGTTACAAAAGTTACTAATCAACAAAAGGAAAGAATGAATTACCCTATAACAGCTGAGGAGATAATTGCAGCAATTAAACAACTGAAAACTGCCAAAGCTCCGGGAACAGATGGCCTGACTGCAGTGTACTATAAAACTTTGCAAGCAGAAATGGTGGAACAATTTAGAGACTTATTTTGTAATATACAACAAGGGGGTAAAATACCCCCATCATGGAAAACAGCTTATATTTCTTTGATACCAAAAGAGCAAGCAGGTCCTAAAAAACCGGAAAACTATAGACCAATATCTCTTCTGAATAATGACTATAAAATTTATGCAAAAGTACTAGCCAACAGGTTGATGCCAGTAATTCAAGAGGTGATTCATGATGATCAAGCGGGATTTATAGAGGGCAGATATATGAAGGACAACGTAAGGCAAGTGATAGACTTACTGGAATATCTTGGGAAGAATAAACAGATCCCTGCAGTGCTGGCTTTCTTGGATGCGGAGAAAGCCTTTGATAGAGTGGATTGGAATTTTCTATTAAAGACTTTGAAAAAAATGGACTTTGGGGATCAATTTATACAGGCGGTTTCAGCAATTTACCAAGAGCAAAAGGCACAGATTATTATTAATAGAAGTTTGACAACAGATTTTAAAATTGAAAAAGGAACAAGACAAGGTTGTCCATTATCCCCTCTGTTATTTATTTTAACATTAGAAGTCTTGTTGAATACAATACGGGATTCGAACAGCTTGAAGTGATAAGGCAAGAGGATTACAGAATAAGGGCATTTGCAGATGATCTGGTTGTTACCCTAACACAGCCGGTGGAATCAATAATCCAGATGAAAGACATTATAAAAGATTATGGCACAGTATCAGGATTTAGACTGAACAAGAAAAAAACTAAGATGATAGTTAAAAATATGACACAAGACCGAAAACATGAACTTGAAAGGAGGGCAGGTTTTGAGATTGTATCAAAGGTTAAATATCTAGGAGTTCAGGTTGCAGAATCAAATATGAAACTGTTTCAAAATAACTATGAGGTGCTGTGGCGAGAGGTACAAAAAGACATGGAGACTTGGAAAAAACTGCAGCTTTCTTTACTTGGAAGAATAGCAGCAGTTAAGATGAACATTTTGCCAATATTTCTTTTTTTGTTTCAAATGATTCCGGTGCTTAAAAGTGATAAACAACTGAAAGAATGGCAAAGTGGAGTGGATAAGTTTGTTTGGAACGAGAAAAAATCAAGAGTGAAAATGAAAATTATGCAAGATGTTCCAGAAAGGGGAGGTCTTAAACTTCCAAACCTACAGTTATATTATGAAGCAGCAACTTTGACTCAAGCAAGTGATTGGTTTGGAAGGAAAAAGACTGGAATACTGAATATAGAAAGTTTTGATCTCGAATTTGGTTGGCACGCTTACTTATTTTATGAAAACAAAGTGGATAAAGTATTTAAAAGCCATACACTTAGAGATTCTTTGATGAGAGTATGGAAGAAGCACCGATTCAAATGGGATCATAAAATACCGTTATGGCTGGATCTTGGTCATATTATGTGGAATACAAATATAATGTCACTCGGGGGGGGGGTTTATATAAAGAGGTTCTTTTTACTGATGCGGGCAGATGGCAACTGAAGACATTAGAGACACTGTTGGGTGAAGGGATTAATCTAACTTGGTTACAATATAATCAACTTCAACTGAGATGGAAAGAGGACCAAAAAACTGGTATTATGTTGCATGAGGAAGAATTGGTTAGACATATAAAAGAGAAAGGTCCAATGCATATCAAAAGGCTATATAATGTTTTGTTAGAAAGGGATTCAGAAACTGAATTGGTTAAAGATTGTATGATTAAATGGGCACAGAATTTTGCAGAACCAGTAATGTTGGAAACATGGGAGAAAATATGGGTTCAGAATGTTAAATTTACACAATCGCAGAACTTGAGGGAAAATTTTTATAAAATGTTTTACAGATGGCATTTAGATCCCAAGAAATTATCCTGTATGTATCCTAATGTTCAGCCAAAATGTTGGAGATGTGATTGTTTAGATGCTACATATTACCATGTTTGGTGGAATTGCAAGAAAGTTAAGGCTTTTTGGATAAAAATATGGTGGGTTATGCAGAATCTTTTGAAGAAAAAAATTCAATTTTCTCCACAATTGTTTTTATTGGGTGTAACAAAGGGTTTTACATTGAATGAAACTAAGCTGATATTGTATATGATAACAGCAGCGAGATTATTGATAGGCAAATATTGGAAAAATGAAGCTTTACCCACTATTGAAGAATGGACTTTGAAGATGGCCAGTTTTGCGGAGATGGCGAAGATCTCAGCATATTTAAAAGATCGCTCACAAGAGACTTATGAATGGGAATGGAAAAATTGGATAGATTATGTGCAGAACAAATATCAAGTTAGGAAGTATCAAATAGCTTTTCATTGAAAGTATTATATAAAAATAGAAATGTATGAATTCTGTGAAGATAAAAAACTTTAAGGGGGTTTGAGGGGTTCAAGTTTTATAAAAAGGGGATTTTGATGGGATTATATTTTATGGAAGTCAGGGGGGAGGGTTAGGGGGGCTTCGGGGGTTAGGGTGGGGAGTGGGGGGGGGGAAATGGGGTGAAAATGTAATTGTAAAACTTTTGCAATAAAAAAAAAAAGAAACCTGTAATAACTAATCCATTAAATCGCCAGGCATTGAGTGCCACTCCAAAAAGATTTGAGTAAACTTTTTCTGCAGCATACTTGATGTCCTTTTTGCTTGCTTGTTGTTCTGGGAGGCTCCCACCATCAACAGTGTTTCCTCAGAGAAGTCACAGGGAACTTATAGGTGCAGGAGGAGGGAAGCAACTTTTGGCTCCAATTCAAGAATTTGGGCGGTCCCTACAAATGATAATATGTGTGCGCTCCTGTTGTACATCTGCTGTGGGGTATGAGATCCCTGGGAAGCAAGCTATGAAAAACATGGCTTGTTGGTCCCGTCTCATTCCTTGGGATCCCACCTGGCCCAATAAGTCCTTATGTGGGATTCAACCATGAGGATCTGGTTACTGCTTGCTACCTGTACATTGAGAAAATCTCCCTGTTCCTACGAGCAATGTGGAAGGGAAATGTTGGACTAGATTTCTCTGAGGAATGGACTCCAGGCCAGGATCCGTTTCCAAGGAAGTTTTTATTCTGGTCAACTGAGCAGAGATAATTTCTATATGAGAATGTGTGATGACAATTTCTCAACAGAGAAAAAGGAGGAAAGTGCAATTATATTTTTCTTTTTTCGATTCCTTTCCTGCTTCTCTGTATCATTCTTTGTTTTTGTTTGATTTATATATTTTATTAGATTAAATTTTCTAATTAAAAAAAGGAATGTGTATCAAACAAAGAGTCAGTCTTGATGCCTGGCCTTGCAGTTTCCTTGGCAAGGATTTTGTATATTTTATTAGATTAATATATTGAATTTAAAAAAGGAATGGGTATCAAACAAAGAGTGGTACATTGTTGCATGAACATCTGTATTACCAATCTTTTTTCCAGCCCTTGGAAATGCCTTTTGGAAACATTGCTCTTACCATATACAGGCAGTCATCTCCTCTTGTTAAATCCCCTTTTCCAGCCCTGCTGGGTATGTGACTTTCTCACTTTGACCTAATGGAGACTTCTGTGTATGCAAAGTTATAGACGCACAAGGCATTTAGCATGGGTGTGCTTGGAAGCAGCTCTGGGCAGCAGGAATGAAGCTGGCTCCCTTTGAGCCTCTGACCCACTGATTCTCCTGGGTCTTAAATCCTTGGCAGACACAGCAAATCAGTCATAAAGTTTGGGGGATGTAGAGAGGTTTTGATCTCCACTGAGTCACCCCTAAGAAAGTGCAGAAATCTATACATCAGCTTTCTGCAAAGTAGTGCCCTCCAAGTCTTTTGCCCAAACTGTTTGGGAATAATAAAGCTAACTCCTGTGGAGATTGGGAAGGCTGCTCAGAGCAACTCTTCCCCCAAGTGAGATTTAGGCTCTGCAAGGATGCAGACAGAAAGAATCTCTCCTATCTAGATGTGGTTTGGAAGGTGGGTGTTATTGTTATTGTTCCAGGTTTCATTATTCCATTCATAGGATGAAGCTGGAAATAATTTAGCAGCTGTGCATACAAACAAGAACTTCATAAATATTTATGGCACAACACGTCCCTAATCTTGGGAAGCTAAGTAGGTCAGGCTTCACTCTCCAAAGTTGCAAAAGTAGGTTTTGGGGAGTTATCCTGCACTCCCGTTTCTCTGCAGTTTCCTTGGCAAGATTTTTTGTAAGCAGATTTCCCTTCAAAGACCTGAGAGGACGGGACAGGCCAAGGCCTCTGAGATGGCTTTGTGCCTAAAGCAGGACCGGAAATGAGCGTCTCTCAGGCTGTAGCCTGGTGACCACCAAACTGAGCTTTCTTCCTCCCCAAAAAATCTATCCATGCAGCTGTTCCTGCTACTCCAGCCCCAAATTCAAGGCTGCAGTTTTCAAGATCCAGTATCTTCCAAATAACACCTACTTTCCACCTTTCAATCTGAGCTTCAAAGTTTGGTTCTGAGGAAATGGACTGTTCGTCTGAGTAGGGACTTATGGCTTTTGACCTCGCTCTATAGACCATCCCCTCTGACTCTTAGATTGGCTTCATTTAATTTTGCTTGATTATCTACTGTACAACTTTTTTCTCACATCTCCCCACCAAGAGGGGAGAACCACAAAAGTATCAGTCCCTTGGTGCTGCTCTCAGGCCCCAGCTGTCAAAGTCTTAACAAGGAGGCCCCTAAAAACAAAGGAGATCACAGCAGGAGTTGTGAATAAACCTGGAGATCCTGTGCTGAAAACCACAATCCCTTTTCTCCTCAACTCAGTATTTCTACAGCTCTTCTTCATGAAGGTCACCTGCAGGGCAGAACAGCCTTTACATCTGAAATTTTACACTGGTTTTGTCACTGCCCCAAACTCCCCCAAAATATTTGCTATTTATGTGGTGTCTTCCACTTGCGTGCCTCATTCTTGATACAATCTGAACAGACATGCTTCGTGCGCTGAATTCCTGGAACAGTTAGGAAAAGATGAACTTTGAATCCCTCCACTCTACGCTCACTTTCTCCTCATAAGAGCCATGGTGGCAAGTTTAGCAGCTCAATTCCCACCGGCTCAAGGTTGACTTGGCTTTCTATCCTTCCGAGGTCGGTAAAATGAGGACCCAGATTGTTGGGGGCAATATGCTGACTATGTAAACCACTTAGAGAGGGCTATAAAGCACTCTGAAGCGGTACATAAGTCAAGGTGCTATTGCTATTATATGAGGAGCCACAATCTCTAACTATAGTCTGAGTGCTCCTATCCCAAAGAGATGCTGGCTGGGGGAATTCTGGGGCTGAAAATCTCGGGGGCACCCAGGGAGAAAAAGGCTGGGACTATGCCTGTGGCATTTCTATCATCTACCATGATAAAAATGCAAAGAACACTCCCAAAAAGATTTTTACATAATTGTACAATTTCTGCAAAAATAAATATTCAGCAACTTCTGCTGCTGATGGCCAGATAGCCTTTATCAAACTAGTATGTTCCAATTTTTTCTTTCTTCCTTTCTGACTAATATCATGACATATTTGCCTACAAAAAATCAGGCAAATTCTTTGTAGTCAAATTAAATAGTCAATTTCTCAGCTGGACTTACAATGTGACATTAGAAATGAAATTCAAACTCTGTCTACACTCATCACTTTGGGCCTCATGTGGATATTCTAGTGTACGATAAGGTTGGAAGGTTTCCTGAAGCATCATGCACACTCGGGGCACTTAAATGGTTTTTCCCGTGTGTATGATTTAGAAGGCTATCCTTAGTACTGAAATCTTTCCCACAGTCTGGACACTCATATGGTTTCTCTCCTGTGTGAGTTCTCCAGTGTCTAACCAAGCTAGAATTTTCACTGAAACATTTCCCACAATCAAGACATTCAAAGGGTTTCTCTACTGTGTGAGTTCTCCGGTGTCTAACCAAGCTAGAATTTAAATTGAAACATTTCCCACAATCAGGACATTCAAATGGTTTTTCTCCTGTGTGAATCCTCCAGTGTCTAACCCAGCTGGAATTATCACTGAAACATTTCCCACAATCAGGACATTCAAAGGGTTTCGCTCCTATATGAATCCTCTGGTGTTTAACCAGGCTGGAAATCTGACGGAAACTTTTCCCACAATCAGGACATTCAAAGGGTTTCACTCCTGTGTGAATCCTTTGGTGTTGAACCAGGCTGGAATTCTGACTGAAACATTTCCCACAGTCAGGACATTCAAAGGGTTTCTCTCCTGTGTGAATCCTCTGGTGGCCAATGAGGTTGGAATATTGACTGAAACTTTTCCCACAGTCAGGACATTCAAAGGGTTTCTCTCCTGTGTGAGTCCTCTGGTGGCCAATGAGGTTGGAATTCCGACTGAAACTTTTCCCACAGTCAGGACATTCAAAGGGTTTCACTCCTGTGTGAATCCTCTGGTGTTTAACCAGGCTGGAATTCCGACTGAAACTTTTCCCACAGTCAGGACATTCAAAGGGTTTCTCTCCTGTGTGAATCCTCTGGTGTTTAACCAGGCTGGAATTCTGACTGAAACTTTTCCCACAATCAGGACATTCAAAGGGTTTCACTCCTGTGTGAATCCTCTGGTGGCCAATGAGGTGGGAACTCTGACTGAAACTTTTCCCACAGTCAGGACATTCAAAGGGTTTCTCTCCTGTGTGAGTTCTCTGGTGTTTAACCAGGCTGGAATTATCACTGAAACATTTCCCACAATCAGGACATTTAAAGGGTTTCACTCCTGTGTGAATCCTCTGGTGTTTAACCAGGCTGGAATTCTGACTGAAACATTTCCCACAATCACATTCAAAGGGTTTCTCTCCTGTGTGAATCCTCTGGTGGCCAATGAGGTTGCAATTTTGACTGAAACTTTTCCCACAATCAGGACATTCAAAGGGTTTATCTCCTGTGTGAATCCTCTGGTGTTTAACCAGGCTGGAATTCTGAATGAAACGTTTCCCACAATCAGGACATTCAAAGGGTTTCTCCTTGGTGTGAGTCCACGTTGCCATGCTTGCTAAAGCATTTACCACATTGGGAACATTTATAGGGCTTCTCTCTTGTGTGGGTCCTTCCATGAAAGAAAATGAAGTTGTTCTGACCAAAGCTTTTGCCACATTCAGAGTATTTGTACGGTTTTTCTCCAGTCTGGATCCCCTCTGGCATAATCAGCTGTGATTTGCAAGTTGTATCTTTCCCAGAACAAAAACGTCTATGGAGTTTTTCCACAACTAATATTCTTGAGGTGGTCAAAAATATGGATAATCCCTTTAGTGCTGCTTTGATTTACTGGTGATTTTCTTCCTCCCAGAGCGAGGCCTTCAACACTGTCTGCTCTACGTGGCTTCCTCCCCAGTAACTTCCAGATATTTCCCCCTTTTCCTGAATGGAAAAATAATCTCCCTTGACTTTTCATGTAACGTATGCTTTAATTTCACACTCTATTTTTCCAGTTAGAAATCTCTTCTTGATTTTCTCTCATTTCTCTCTCACCTGCTGGGGGACACTCTGAAGGAAATGGAAAATATTTTGATTTCTGGACTGACTTGTTTTGCTATTCAAAGTTGTTTGTTATCCTCAGTTGTCCAGATTGCTCATTGCCATCTTCTTTGTCTATAAGATTCAAATAAAAGTGTATCTTTAATTGTGCATAAAACGGTTGCAGAAGATGAGAAAAGAAGAAAAAAGTTTACATTATAATGAAAAAGCAAACATGCCACAATGCTCCAATAAGCTCTTACATTGATCATGATTCAATTGAGACATGGAAGACCACCCAGATCCAAGTTCGAATATCCATTCAATGATGAAATTCCATTGTTGACTTCAGTCAATCACAAATTCTTAGCAATGCAAAGGGTTGTTTTCAAATGCAATCAATTGAAAAAGAAACTACACCTGCTTTGATTTCTTGTGGTTTTACTTATCAGGGTATCATAAATATCATCGCAACAGAACAGAAGAGAATAACAGAATTGGAAGGGACCTTGGAGGTCACCCTATATCCTTTCAGACAAATGGCTGTCTCATCTCTTCTGAAAAGCCTCAAGTGATGGAGCACCACAACTTCTGAAGGCCAGCTGTTCTGCTAGTTAATTGTTCTCACCATTAGGAAATTTCTCACTGCTTCCATAGTATAAAGAGGGGAAGTAGTAGCCACGTAGTGCTAATAAAATGCCCTTGATCAATTGATCAGCAAATATGATTACATCTATCTCTGACACTGAGTTGTGTGTTTAACACAATGCCAAAGAATAAAGAATCAGCAATGAGTTTAGAGAAAAAATTGTTGCTGCCCATCAATTTGGGAAGGTTTAAAAGGTCATTTCCAAACAATTAAAAACCCATCATTCTACAGTGCGGAAGACAAGTGTAAAGCATTCAGGAGAGTTGCTAATCTTCCCAGGAGTGGACGTTCAAGGAAATTCAGCCCAAGGTCAGACGGTGCAATAGCCAGAGAAATTGCAAAGAGTTATATCTCAAGACTCTACAGCAGGGCTGTCAAACTAGTGGCCTGTGGGCCAGATGGGTCACGCACCGGCCAGGCCACGTTTAAAGAAGGGGAAAAAAGTTGTGATACATCACATGATCATGCCGTGATGATGCAGGTTTGACGCCCCTGCTCTACAGGCTTCAGTTAGCATGTTAAATGTTAAGATTCATAACAATGGAATTAGAAAAATACTGAAGAAGTATGGTTCGTTTGGAAGTATTGAATAGAGAAAGCCTCTTCTCTCTAAAAAGGTCATAGCACATGGCTGTTGTTTGCAAAGTTGCATCTGAACAAATCACAGGACTTCGGGAACACTGTCCTTTGCACACACCAGACCAAAGTGGAAATGGTTGGCCATAATGCAATTGGGCCACAGGCCATCACACCAATAGCTAAAGCTTGGCTGACAAAGGATTATGCAACAGGATAATGGTCGCAAAACACATCAGCAAATCTACAACAAAATAGCTGAAAAAGAATCAAGGTGCTGCAGTCAAAGTCTAGACCTCAACCCAATTGGCAGGACCTCAAGAGAGTTGTGCATAAAAAAACACCCTCAAACCTCAATGAACTGAAGCAATGTTGTAAAAAAGAGTGGGCCAAAATTCCTCCACAACACTGCAAGAGACTGATAAAGTCACACAGAAAAGAATTACTTCTAATTGTTGCTGCTAAAGGTGGTTCTACAAATGATTGAATCATACATTTTTCATACCTGACTTCACCGTTTTGGCTTCCTTTTTATAAAATAAATGATGACCTGATGTAATATTTCATCTTGTTGTTCATCTACGGTTGTATTTACCTACTTTTAAGAACTTCTAAGGACCAATTGATTTTTACTATGCCCCAATACGTAAAATCATAAAAGTCAAGGAGAGTATACTTTCTTTTTCACATGACTGTTTATCTGGAGGTCCTGGGGATAGATTATAAATTTGCAGATATGTACACTCAGAAATAAAAATATACACACCTACAGTATGAAGATAATTCATGTCTTTGAAGTCTGAAAAACATCTCAAACCTTCTGAGCTATTGTTAATCAAGAATTGGATGAATTGGATGATTGCTCATATGTTGAGATGGCAAGGCTGAAGTTCAGGCCTCAAAAGGCTTTTGAAGCCATGGAAAATTTCACAGGAAACACTAGCCTATGGGTTAGCCACGTGACCAAAACCACAGAAGGCAAACTTGACTATTTTTATTATTTCTATATCTTCTCTGTCATGTGCCAACTGCCTCTTATGTAATGAAGCGAAAGCAAAGAAATGTATAAATATCTGCCTTTCACTACGCTCAGGGTTCCTTCCTTCTTAGGAGGATGAAGAAATGCATTGGCTTATCAACACACACACACACACACACACTTGGACTCTGTCTCTTATTTCACTGAGCCATATCTGTCAATCGCAGTTATGTCACGGTTAGGTTGGAGGCCAATACATTTTATAAATAAATACACCTGAACAGTTCAAACATTCAATAGCTATTTTTTAAAAAGTGCTGGGTTAAGCACAGTGGAGCCTGGGGGGGCACCAATAGGAAACACATACTTGTTAGCTAGAAATGGAAGTAGAACAAAACAAGAACAACCCAAAAAAGACCAGAGGCAAATAAATCCGATCTTGTTGCCCAGAAAACATCAGGTCCATAAGAGAAGAATTGAGTTGGGGGGACCTTGGAGGTCTTCTAGTCCATCCCCTGTTCAGGCAGGAGACCCTATTCCGTCCAGAACAAATGGCTGCCCAATCGCCCCTCAAAACCCTCCAGGGACGGAGCAGCCACAACCTCTGGAGGGAAGCCATTCCCAAAGAACCAACCTCCACTTGAAAGAGGCTTTTTCAAGCTTCCCACCAGCAGAAATTGCAGCCCCCAGTTTCCCAGCCTGCAGCACCAGTGGGCTTCCATTTGGGGAGGGAAGGAACCCGCAGCAGCCGCAGCTGAGAGGCTTCAGCCCAGTTGCTTCTCCGCTTCCAGCCCAAGTTGCTCCCGGACTCTCCTCCCACCTGCTGCCCTCCACTCACCTGCCAGCTGCTGCTTCCACCATGGAAACAGCAGAAAAGCCGCTCTGCACACCAACTTCCTCCCATCAGTCATTCCGGAAGAGGAAGTTCCTCTGCGCCTCTCCTCTCTTCCCATCCTTTCTAGCAATGCAGTGTTGATGGCTTTCTAGGCACAGGTGTTGCCTGACCGCCATCTAGCGACAGGAGGTGGAAAAACACGCTTTTCCAATCTCCACCAAGGCGTTTGGAAGAGGTTTCCTGTGATTACATTGCAGCAGGTCGTTTTCGATTCCCAGCAACCGACCTTTGCAACTGAGCCAAGTGATGCTACTTCGGTTTTGGTGCCTTTGGGTCAGTCTTGATGCCTGGCCTTGCAGTTTCCTTTGGAAGGGTTTTTGGGAGGGGTTCCCCCCCCCTTTCCTGCTTCCAAGGGCTGAGAGACTGGCCAAAGTTGAGCAGATGGTTTTGCCCTTCAGGTGGGACTGGAACTGAGCGTTTCTCTGTCTCTAACCTGGTGCCTTCACCATTACACCACACTGGAACTTCTTCCTCCCCACAAAATCTACCCATTGACCTGTTCCTGGTGCTCCCACAGCAAATTCAAGGCTGCAGCTTTCAAGATCAATCAATCAGGATAGAGTTGGAAGGGACCATGGAGGTCTTCTGTTCCAACCCCCTGCTCAAGCAGGAGACTCTACCATTTCAGACAAGTGACTATCCAATCTATTTTTTAAAACTTCCAGTGATGAAGCACCCACAACTTCTGAAGGCAAGCTGAACGCACTTATTAATTCACACTGTAAGTTTCCAGGTTGCTTCTCTCCTTCGTTAGTTCCCATCCATTGTTCCATGTCTTGCCTTCTAGTGTTTAGGAAGATAACTTGACACCTTCCTCTTTGTGGCAGCCACTCAAATATTGGAAGACTGCTATCATGCCTCCCCTTGTCCTTTTCATTAGACTAGACGAGGGGTCTCAAACTCAAGGGCTGGTGGCCGGATGCAGCCCTCCCGAGCTCAGTTTTTCCTGGCAGAGGTTTGCAGGAAGCCATCGCAACCAAAAACAGCTCGGGAGCCAGTTTTCTCTGGCAGAGCGCTTGGGTCACCAGAGGTGCCCCCAACGTGAGTGATATCGAGCTGGCCATGCCAAAACCTGGCCATGCCCACTCCGGCCCCCAGAGGTCAAACACAACCCTGATGCGGGCCTCAATGAAATCGAGTTTGACACCCCTGGACTAGACATACCCAATTCGTGTAACTGTTCTTTGTATGTTTTAGCTTCCAGTCCCTAATCATCTTTGTTGCTCTTCTCTGCACGCTTTCCAGAGTCCCAATATCTTTTTATATTGTAGTGACTAGAATTGGATGCAGTATTCCAAGTGTGGTCTTACTAAGGCTTTGTGAAGCAGTACTATAACTTCATGTGATCTTAATACTATCCCTCTATTAATGCAGCCTGGGATTGTATTGGTAATTTTGGCTGCTGCCAATCACAAAAAAATAGTAAGAGAACACCTGTCTGATCTTGATGAATACAAATCACCAGGACCTGATGGATTACATCCCAGAGTTCTAAAGGAGCTGGCAGATGTCATCTCAGAACCATTGCACCACATCTTTCAAAAATCCTGGAACACCAGGGAACTACCAAAGGACTGCAAAAGAGCTAATGTGGTTCCCATCTTCAAGAAGGGGAAAAAAACAGACCAAAACTACAGACCAATCAGCCTAACATCAATTCCCGGGAAGATACTGGAAAAGATAATAAAGAAACAGATCTGCCAACACCTAGAAACGAGTAAAGTAATAATTAGCAGCCAGTACAGGTTTTTTAAAAACAGATCATGCCAAACCAATCTTATTTCATTCTTCAACATAGTGACTAAATTAGTAGACAAGCAAAATCCTGTGGACATAATATACTTAGACTTCAGCAAGCCATTCGACAGAATAGACCACAACCTACTTCTTCATAAGTTAGAAAAAAGTGGGATAGCTAGCTTCACCTCCACATGGATTTGCAACTGGCTGACAAACCGTACTCAACGAGTAGTCCTTAATGGGTGTAAGTCTACATGGAGAGAAGTAAGCAGGGGGGTGCCACAAGGTTCCTTCTTAGGCCCAGTAATCTTCAATATCTTCATAAACGATTTAGATGAGGGAATAGAAGGGGAACTCACCAAATTTGCAGATGATATAAAGCTGGCAGGAATAGCTAACACTCTAGAAGATAGGCTCAAGATCTAGATGGATCTTGACAGACTTGAACACTGGGCCCTATCTAACAAAATGAAATTCAACGTAGAGAAAAGTAAAGTCTTACACTTAGGTAAGAAAAACCAAAAGTACACATATAAACTGGGGGAAACCAGGCTTAATAGCAGTGACTGTGAGAGGGATCTTGGAGTCTTAGTGCACAATCAGCTGAATATGAGCTAGCAGTGTGCAGCGGCAGCTAAAAAAGCCAAAGCAATCCTGAACTGCATTAACAGAGGGATACAATCAAGATCAAGTGAGGTACTAATACCACTCTATAAAGCTCTAGTAAGACCACACCTAGAGTACTGCATCCAGTTTTGGTCACCACACTATAAAAGATGTTGAAACTCAAAGTGCAGAGGGGAGCAACCAGGATGATTAGGGGACTGGAGACTAAAATGGATGAAGAACGGTTACGGAAACTGGGCATGGCTAGTGTAGTGAAGAGAAGGAGCAGGGGAGACATGATAGCAGTCTTCCAATATTTGAGGGGCTGCTACAGAGAGGAGGGGGTCAAGCTATTTTCCAAAGCACCTGAAGGCCAGACAAGGAATAATGGATGGAAACTGACCAAAGAGGGATTCAACCTAGAAATGAGGAGGAACTTTCTGACAGTGAGAACAATCAACCAATGGAAGAGCTTGCCTTCGGAAGTTGTGGGAGCTTCATCACTCGAGAGTTTCAAGAAAAGATTGGACTGCCATTTGTCAGATATGGTATAGGGTCTCCTGCTTGAGCGGGGGGCTGCACTAGATGACCTATAAGGTCCCTTCCAACTCTGTTAATCTGATCTGATCTGATCTGAACTGTTGGCTCACATTTAAGTGACTATACACTACGACTCCAAGATCCCTCTCACAGTTATGGGAATTAAACCAGGTTTCACCTAGTTTAATTATACCTATGCAATTGGTTTTTCTTGTCTAAGTGTAAAACTTTATTTTTATCTTTGTTGAATATCATTTTGTTAGATAGGGGCCACTATTCAAGTTCACATTTTTTTAGCTTGCCAAGAAGTAGGTTGTGATCTACATAATCAAATGCTTTACTGAAAACTAAGTATATTATGTCCTCAGCATTTCTCTGGTACACTAATTTAGTCACTTTGTCAAAGAATGAAATAAGGTTTGTTTGGCATGATCTCTTTTTGATCAACCCAGGGATGAAATGCTATCAGTTCACACCAGTTTGGGCAAACTGGTAGTGATAAAAACTACCGGGTCAAGTGAACCAGTAGTAAAAAAAAACTACCGGTTTCTCTGAACTGGTATTTCCGATGATCAGCTGTGCCGCACGGCGAAGCTAAATCATGTCACACAGCTGTTTCCCCCCCTCACTGTTCTACTTACCTTGTGAAGTTTTCTTTTTCCGCGCGAAGTGTGCGTGTGATGCACAATGCGCATGCACAGGCAGTCTACCGGTGGCAATCCACGGAGGATTTCACCACTGGATCAACCCATGTTGGCTAATAGTTATAACTTGTTTGCTTCTAGCTGTGCACAGATTTGTTGCTTGGATATGTTTTCCAAGATATTACCAGATATTAATGTCAGGCTGATTTGTCTGTAAATTCCTGCATGTTTTTTACCTTTTTGAAGATGGGGACCCTATCAGCTCTTTTCCAGTCCTCAGTTACAGGTAGTCCTGAACTTACAACCACAATTGAGTCCAAAATTTATGTTGTTAAGCGAAAAAATTGTTAAGTGAATTTTGCCCCATTTTATGACTTTTCTTGCCACATTTGTTAATGAATCATTGCCATTGTTAAATGAGTTACACTGTTGTTAAGTGAATCTGGTTTCCCCATTGAGTTTGGTTGATAGCATGTCACAAAAGGGGATCACATGACTCCGGGACACTACAACTGTCATAAATGTCACTTGTCAAACATCTGAATGTAAATCACATGACCAGGGGGATGATACAACGGTCATATGTATGATCAATGATCATAAATCACTTTTTTCAGTGTCATTGTAATTACGGTCACCAAATTAACTATTGTAAATTGAGGACTACCTCTACTTCCCCTGTGCTCCAAGGACTTTGAAACATACAGTATGTTACAATGGTTCTGAAATCACATTTATTAGTTCCAGTAAAATTCTGGCTGCAGTCCGTCCCGACCCAGTGATTTGAATTTGTCTAGAGCCAACAGGTGTTCTCTTACCTTATTTTTCCATATTTTAATTTGCATTCCTAATCTGGCACTTATGATTCTGTTTTTGATAAGTTGTGTCATGTTTTCTTTTTGAGTGAAAACACATGTAGAGTATCTTCTTTGTACCTTCTCCCCCCTTCTTATACTCCTGTGAATTAGGGAGGTGTCTGTCTGAGTCTCTTCTGAATAGGATCCATGTGCTGCGGACTTGGGAGATGTTTCCCCTTCACCTCTTTAGTAATGGAGTTTGCATATCTCCCAAGCAGGGGTGGGTTCTATTTACCTTTACTACCGGTTTGCAATGGGAGCGTGCACGTGCTTCTGTGCATGCGCAAAAGCTTCTGTGCAGACGCAGATTGTCCATCATGACATCCGGGCGGATGGGCGGAAACCTCCTGCCGCTTTTACTACCGGTTTGCAAGAACCGGACCAAACCGGGAGCAACCCACCACTGCTCCCAAGGCCGTTTTCTTCAGTCTGAGCATAGGGAGGGCATTGGTTAGGGTGGATATTGTGCTGGGTTAAGAGCAGGGAGGTAGAGTTTCTGTTCTCCATTCAGTCATGGATTGTGATTATCCATACAGACCACTGAGTTACATTCACTAGCAAACCTCTAGAGATGCTCCTGCACCCCAATAGTTGTAGAGAGCTTAAAGTCTTGTTGTAAGTAAACATTGACAACAAGCTGAA